ACTGCTCACATTATGCAGCCCTTTTCTCACTGCCCTCACTCACACCGCAAGCTACACCGCACACACCGACACTTACGCCGGAGCCCTGTCTCCTCTCCTGAAATGTAACACATTTCCAACTTCCTCCTCAGGATACCCACCCAGATCCTCCAAAGGTCCTCGAACTTAACCCGTCCAAAACTGACTCCATCCTCTTTCCTCGCAAACTTGCGCCACCTCCCCCACCCGCCATGCTGCCCAAATCAAGGGCTGACAACACCCAACATCGGTCCCCCCGAGTCCTGACAGCTATTATGGTTCCTTCCCTTTGGCCCTACATGCATTCTGTCCCCAAATCCTTCCGATTTTACCTCTAACTAGTACACCAACCCAGGGCCTGCTTCTTCCCTACTCCTGCGTTCCACCTCATTTCTCCTGTCGGGACAACTGTAACACTCTTATGAAAGTCAGTCTGCTGGCTTCTAGGTTTCATCTGCTCAAAGCCATACTCTGCAATGTCCCCAAGATGACAGAAGATGCACATCTGAGCATGTCACTCAATTCTTCAGAAACAGCCCCCCACCATCAGGGTAAAACCCAGGCTTCTTACAGTGAGGCATAAAGCCTTCCGTACCTGGCCCCACCATTCTCAAACTTGCACTTGCTGCTCTATTAATAATTAAACTTGCCTGGTCTACCTGGGTGTTTGGGCTTATGCCTTTGCCATCTCCCTGCCAGGAACACTCCCCCCGCTCTTCTAGCTACAGCAAGGTGCTCCCTCATAGCACATCTCCATGGTAACATCCTCCAAAACGACTTCTGTGCATGCCCAGGCTGACTGACGGCCCTTGCTTCCTCTGGTCCTCAGCGTACCCCCCCATATACCTCTGTCACAGATCTTATTCAGATATATTGAAATCATTTCCTTAGCTTTATACCTTAGTGTCTGGAAGAGTGATTCAGTTGTGATCTTACTACTCCAGCTATCCTTTTATTTTAATTTATTNAAGTTCCCATTACATATGATATAATAGGCTCAAGTCACTCATTTACCACTTAGATTTGGGGTTTAGGACCTAAGTAAATCATAATTCATCTGACAAAATGTGGCCCAGCTTTGCAGGATAAAACAGATAACCTACAAACACTTTTCTTATTTCACACTACATAGAACATTTCACACTAACCAACGACAAGCATGGGAGTTTATTTCTTTATATAATAAATATTTTTTCCAGCCCAGATAGTGTTGTCTTTGATCTGCTCTGAAGTATTTTAAAAGTCTTCTAAAAATACAATCTTTCTAAGGTCAATGAAATGCCCATTCCTCTCAATTTCTCAATCCCAACTACACTTAGGAAACAAATGGCCAAGGAATGTGAAAGACAATTATAGAAAAGATTCATATTTCAGAAATAAACCAGAGATGGAAAGAATCTAAATATTAGTAAAGACAGTGTAGTAGAAAACCAAGAGTATGGGATGAAGAACCCCTCAGGCTGTGTTAAATCCCACTCTACCCCAGTGAACTGCCATGGGACAAACAGACTCCCTGAGT